GCTTAAACGCATGCATCTGATTACAAAACCCAGAGTTTGAAAATAAAAGGCTGTAGTTGGCTTGCTTCATTTGCAATTCAAACAACATCATATTTGGGCATGTTGAGTCCAAAGAAAAAAAAAATGGAAACCAGGTCAAAGGCAGTCTGTCATCTACCCTACTCCATTCAAGTTAATGGGTATTTTCAGATCTGCAATGGATAAGCATTTTAAATGCCTGTCTACATGAGTCCTTAAAGTGATCAGGTTGCAAAAAATGAAGATGAAAGGTTCATGCAATAGAATATAGCACCATAACACGCGTTGAGGAACACAGGCTGCCACCACTTACAGAATTAAATGCCCAAGAGTCTTACAGTGGCTGCAGTACTGAAACAGAAGGAAGGTAGGAGGAGATATGGGCTGTGGGAGAGTGGAGTATAAAAAAGCTCTTCTACTGCAAGGACTTTTCACCCTGATTTTGTTTTCAAGTGGATAGGGTCACTGTAAAATGTCCTATCTGCAGGGCAAAGTTCAAAATGAAACAGATTGTGATTGATCACTTCAAGCAGCAAGATATCTTCTCATTAACATACTTTTCATACCTAGGTCCCCAAGTGACCTCAGGGTTCTGCAAGGATTCCATGCATGCATAGACTATGCAACTTACAGTCAAATGAAAAGTACTTAAATGATCCATTACAAGCAAGCTATTTGGGCCGGTTGACAGAGAAATTCAGTGTAATAATGTACAGGATTTAAAGTTTCCAGCAAAATCTTCCTGACTTCTTAGCAGACATATTGTATCTACAACCCCATCTGTTTCTTAGATTAGGCTGCAGGCAGCAGCTGTAAACCACTTCCAAAGATACAGTTACAGACTGAGGTTTCTAGTTAACTTCTGGCACAAGGACCTGGTAAAATAAACTTTATGAAGAGCTTCTGGAAACCTAATCCTGGTTGCTATACCAACAGACACCTGAAACCACGAGAAACTGCACATCACAAATAATGGAGAACAGTGGTATATTGTATACATTAGTTTATGAATAATGCAAACAAAAACACATAATAGACTTTAAAAGGATCACTTAGCAAAGAAATGTTAAACAAAATAAAAACAGACTATTAAAGCCTCTATCCCTAACCTACAGGATAGGGAGTACAGAACAACAAGGGAAACAAGTACAACTATATAACGCTTTTAATATTATTCATCTAATAGTAAGGAAAACATGGGGTAACAAAAAACATGGGGTAACAAAAAAATGTGGAACTGCCCATTGTTGACCATGTTTAATAAAAATGACTTGTTTAGGTGTATCTGGCTTCAATACCTTTTTAGATAGTAACCCAAGTAAAAGTATGCAGATTAGAAAGTCAGAACCTCTGATCTAGGTACTCATTTCAGGTGTTTGACTTGAGATGTGAGATGAGAAAGTGCTAAAAATCTGCACGAAAACAGAGTTGTTAGGAGAGTTCAGCCACGGTAGTCTGCAAGTGACTCACTAAAGATTTCCTTAAAACCAAGGGTCCCAAACCCCTAGGCCGCAGGCAGTCCATGGCTTCCTGGGGCCTGGGCCGTGCAGTGCGTGGGGGGGGGGGGGGGCACAGGTTGTTTGGGGTGTGGATGTCCTGTGTGTGCCAGCACAACCTGCACTTCCACCCTACGACCACCAGAGGGCACCCGCTCCCCTACTCCCACCACCACTACTCCCCTTCCCTCTCTGTGGCCATGAAGACTGAGAAAGGAAGGGAGGAGAGCTGGCCAGGGACAGGGTCTCATAGAGCACTGGTGAGACCGAGGCTGCACCCGCCAACTCCCCAGCAACCCCCTTCCCCCAGGTGACAGGCTGCTGCCAAAAACCCATCTGGTGTCATCATGTTATTGCTCAGATCTTGTATTTCTTGATCAGTCCTGCTGGTGTATATGTGGAATAAGTTTGAACTGCTCACTTCCTCCTTGCCCAACCAGGGAGGTTGGGAACCACCACTTTAAAGCTCAATAAAGAAATAAATACACAGAAAATAAAATATGCATCTCTCAGTGCCAACAGTTTACCTACAGCACCCAGAAGACCGTGACATCCAGTGCAAACAAATGGCCACTGCCTCAATCTTTAACTGGCCTTTACAGCAAGGAGCACATGGAAATGTGATGAATGTCAAACGATATAAGAGAAATGTTCCCAGCTCAACTTACTGACCAGCCTGCAACCAACCTAATTGTCTTGTCAAACAGTTTGCGATAAATACATAGGTTTAGTTTGCACACATTTGAAAATACATGTGAAATCTGTACCCCAACTGACATATTCAGGACAATGTTAACATTACTATAATATCACCACCAAAATCAGAAACTTGTTCTCGGAGGCACAACTCTCAGGGGTTTAGATTTCACACATTTGCAAATACATGCGTAAGCTGCAGAGCCTATCCACGGCACCCCAATATTCTGCAGTTCCTAACTCTATACATTTGGAGAGCCTGCATAACTACAGAATATTGGGGTGCCATGAAGAGGCTCTGCAGCTTATGCATGTATTTGCAAATTTGTGAAAACAAAACCCCTTTTTTGGTGGTGATATTATAGTAATGTTAACATTGTCTTGAAAGTGTCAGTTGGGGTACAGATTTCCTTTCCATCTAGAATATTCTCTCACCTCATTATGTTACACTAAGGCACTAAAGTACAAACATGGCCATTTGCAAATATGTCAACATGGGTTAACAATAAAGGCTGTAATTTCTTTCCAGTGCACAACTGAATAAAAAGTATCACATCATGAGAGAATCATGTGATAAGAGAATACCAGTCTACAACATACAGTAGCTATAGCTACATTAAACTGGCTGAATGCATATTACAACACATGAAAAAACATATTCCCAACCACAAGATGAGAAGTGATGTATATGTTTTTCCCTTTTCTAAATGCACAATAGAAAGTACATGTAAAATAGAAAATAAAGTGAACAAAAAAGACAGTTGACATGGCGTGCTTAAAGCAGAGTTCCACCCAAAAGGGGAGTTCCGCTTTAAAGATTGGTCCCCCGATCCTCATTAAGGATTGGCACCTGTGGGGAGGGGGTACCCGAATTTGACAGGTACCCGAAGTCTTATGGGACACGTGACAGGTCCCAGAAGACTACGGGGCCCATTCAGGAAGTGCAGCGCTACTCTCACATACGCAGTGGGCACCTGGCTGTGAAGCTGCAAGCTGTCACAGCTGGGTGCCCACACTTTTTGTAGCTGTTGACTTTTATTTTTTTATAAAGTGAGTGGAACTCCGCTTTAAGAAAAAAAAAATTGTAAGAGTTTGCCACACGGTCTATAATGTTTAGTAAACTTATACCTTGCTCCTATGGGTATTCATTGCAATGATGTGAACTGAACCTAAATGACTAACAAAAAGAAATTTCAGCTCAGAAAACACCAGTAAACTCAAGGACAATATATTTTTGCCCTAAAATAATTCTAACTGCACAACAATTTGTTACTTTCTACAAGTACTTGGAGAGTGGTAGCACAAAGGCTATGTTTAAGCCCAATTATCTGATACAATTACAGGGTTTATAAATGCACACAAAACCGCAGGTGAAAAAGCATATGGTTTGCTTGATTTACTTTACAAGAATTTAGGTGCATTTTCATAAGCTTTTTTTAGTTATATTGCATTTAGCCCTTTTCTTCCTACGTGCAGACTCACCCCCTTTCCTGTGCCATCATTTCCTTTCAAAAGTAGAGCTAGAGAAGAATTTATTATTTAGGCTGATGTTTTTAACCAAGTTTTTCTGATGTCTTCGGTCACAGCCTTGATCTGTATTCATGCATCGCAGATCTGTACAGCTGTGTTCAAGTATGAACAGGGCACAAAGAAAAGCATTGCTTCCTATGTGTACTTGCAGAGCACAAGTTTGAACAAGCCCTCAATAACTTTTCGTGTGTGCAAGTGTACGCATGTGTACAATCATGTGGGAAGTAAGTACACCGCAAGGACATTGTTCACTTTATCAACATTTGAACAAGCAAATATTAGATCTTTAGTAAACAGTGTCTACAGATAAAATTGATATACTTTAATATAAGCACAATTTGAAACAGGCAATGTCGCTTTAAATTTAACTATGAATCTATTTCATAGTGCACTGTGGAAAAAGCAAGTACAACCTCAGAAGCTGGTATTGCCCTCGAGTAAAAAAATACTTCTGGAAAGCATTGTTCATAATTGCCCACCAGTCTCTGACACTGCCTCAACATTTTTGACTACTTCTCATTAGGAAATTAAAATTCCTTCAGCTGCACTATGTTTGTGGATTTCCTAGCATGGATTCATGTTATTTTGTTTTAAATCAGGGCTTTTCCAAGGCCAGTTCATAACCTTCCATTTCTTCTTTTTGAGTAATTCATTTTTGGATGTATTAGTGTGCTTTAGATCATTATTGTGCTAAAAGATACTGTTCCAGTTTAACTTGAGGACAGATGGCCTTAAATTCCTAAATGTTCATCAAGCACACTTTGATATGGTACAAACTTATTAACTTGATTGCTGCAAGCTACTTAGGTCCTGAAACAGCATAACAACCCTAAACAATATCATTTTCACCACCATGCTTCACAGTTGCTATGGGGGTTCTTCTCTTGAAATGCTGTCTTAGGTTTGCAAAAAACATGTCTGTTTCTGTGGCAAAACTATCTTTGATTGATCATTCCACAGTACATGGTTTCAGAAGGCCTCATTTTTGCCTACATGACAAACTGTAGCACTCCTCTAAACTTTTAGAACAAAAGCATCTGCATAGCATATCTCCAATGCAGTTTAAAGTTTATTGCAGGATTGTGATTGCAGAGAAGACATGCTATGATTAATTTCAAAGTTGGTGACCTTTTAACCATCTCCCGGCCGGATGGTGGCACTGCAGGGTCGGGTGGCCGGGCGATCTGTACGAGGTCCCGATCATGTGATCGCTGATTGGCCAATCAGTGATCACATGCAAAGTAGTAAGCAAGATGTCACTACGTGTGAAATCTGTGAATGATCACAGAGGTCACATGGTACAAGGCTATTCACAACAGTTTTGTACCATGTGACAAGCTGTGACCAATCACAGCTCACTTAGTAGTTCTCAATGGCTGCAAGAATGCAGACAGAGAGAAAGAGAAAGGATTGCTTTTACATCCTATATGGGTGTAAAAGCAATCAGTGTAGAAAAAAAAAAATCTTCATCACCCCCCACAAGTAGTACAGTGTCACCATGGTAACAGCATGTAAAAAAATAAATATATTAAAAAATAAAATAAAAATGTAAAAAAAAGTTAAATTATAATTTGTTTATAAACTAATTTGGCTTTTTTTTTTTTTTTTTACTAAAAAGATAAACGGAATAAATTTTGGCCTGGATTTATGATGAAATATTATTTATTTGCAAAATTTTATAAGAAACATTTTTTCAAAATTTTTGGACATTTTCATTTACATAGCAAAAAAAATCAAAATCCCAGCAGTGAATAAATACCACCAAAATAAAGTTTTATGTCTCAAAAAAATGGTAAAAAATTCATATGGGTACAGTGTTGCATGACCGCGCAATTGTCATTCAAATTGTGATAGCACTGAAAGCTGAAAATTGCCCTGGACAGGAAGGGGGTAAAAGTGTCCGGACAGGAAGTGGTTAAAATCGCATGCCAGACTCATAGGCACCCACAACCATTTTTGTGAGCAACTTAGAGTTCTTTAGATCTTGGCATGATAATACCACACATGTCAATGCCAAAGAGAAACCCAGACCCTGCATGCCTGAGATGTGTGGTGGATCTGAGTGGTGGAAAATATAGGAATGATCTTTTTCCATGTGACAAATCAACATTTTCATTAATTTAGATTGTGAAAATGGATACACCATGTCAATTTTGTGTGTCATTTGTTCAAGTATATGACCTTTATCTGCAGGCACTGATTTAATGAAGATATGTTTGCCTGTTCAAATATGTTGAAACCGTCAACAGTTTTCAATGGGTATGCTTGGTTTTTCACATGTCTGCCTGCATATACAGTATGTGTGTTTTTTTTTTTTTTTCCAAGCTTCCACCAGAACAAGAATAAAGGGAACAACTGGTCCCGTGACAACTAACAGGGAATTTTACTTACATTGGAAAGACAAACTCACTCCCTGTTCAGCCTAAAGCAGTGGAAACCACGGGAAAACGCCCTAATGATATAGAAAAAAAAAAAACAAACCAAAAAAAAACCTCAGACTGTGATCTGATCCCTTCCATATTCTATCCAAAATGAAACTAATTAACCTGAAGTATTAGCTTCAGATATACTCCAAGGACAAAGCATAATGGTGGGCATTGATGAAGTAAACTGGCAACACAAATAATTGCAAATCAGGTTGTGTCTCCCATAGCATGTGTGTCTGTATTCCTGGGCAGCCAAGTGTGACCATTTGCAAAGTTCAAAGGCAGATTTGTGTAGATGAGATGGATGTTCAAGCTAACAGACACATAATTAGGTGGCAAGAGTCAGATTTCACTCAGTCACAGCACTACTTAATACCAGCCAAAAGAAGAATTTTTGACTCAGGCTGTAACCTTGTAACAATTCTGTCTTATGATGCATGTCATTGCTCTTGTTTAGCATTGCTCTGTCCAGCAACAAAATTGATAAATGTCCCCCAATGTTTTTTCAGTAAATATGCTCCGAGTTTTTTTTACTGTGATACTTGCCTTAGAAAGTTTTGATGTGACTTTTCACATTAATACTATTGGCTTATTCTTGTAAAATTAGCAAGGAATATGTAGATTAGCCACCTTCTTTAACAACTGTTGGGATAAGATATCAGACACACAAGGAAGGTATTGCTTTTAATAATCGCATCACTAACCTACTAAGTGACATATCGGCATGGATGTCACTCCTCTTCCTCAAACTCAATCTTTCCAAAACTGAGCTCTTAGTATTCCCCCCAGCCCGTGCCCCCTCCCCTGACTTCTCCATCAAGATCAATAACACAATCATCAGTCCCTCCCCTCATGCCAGGGTACTAGGTGTAATCCTAGACTCTCATCTGTCCTTTCACCCCCAAATCCAATCACTGTCCAAATCTTGTAGACTTCACCTCCGCAACATCTCCAAGATACGCCCGTTCCTAACCTCGGAAACCACTAAGCAACTTATCCACTCCCTTGGTATATCTCGCCTTGACTATTGTAACTCCCTCCTCATTGGCCTACCTTATCGTAGGCTATCCCCTCTTTATTCTATCATGAATTCTGCTTCCAGAATCATCCACCTTACTAACTGTTCTGTATCTTTCATCCCTCTCTGCCAATCCCTCCACTGGCTTCCCATTGCCCAACGGATAAAATTCAAAACACTAACAATAACGTATAAAGCCATTTATAACATTGCCCCAAATTACATCACCGATCTTGTCTCCAAATATCACCCAAACCGTACTCTCTGCTCCTCACAAGACCTCCTACTCTCTAGCTCCCTTGTCTCCTCCTCCCATGCTTGTCTCCAGGACTTCTCCAAAGCTTCCCCCATCCTCTGGAACTCTCTACCCCAATTTATCAGACTATCGCCTACTCTGTTCACTTTTAGGCGATCTCTGAAAACCTCTCTCTTCAGGGAAGCCAATGCTGCCCTCAGCTAATACTGGAATCTTCTACTCTTCCAACCAGTCCATCCCCCACAGTTACTACCTTTTGTACCACTAGCCACTCCCTCCTAGATTGTAAGCTCCAAGGAGCAGGGCCCTCAAATCCCTCTTGTATTGAACTGTATTGTTGCTGTATTGTCTCCCGTTATATTATAAAGCTCTGAGCAAACTGTTGGCGCTATATAAATCCTGTATAATAATAATAATAATAATTAAGCTATATGGCCTGCCTATATAAATGATATCCTTGCTTGTTAGATCTTCTATTTGATTGTGCAGCAATTATTCTTCAAACTTTTCTTTCAGGCAGTGGGATCCCAGGACTTTCTATTGAGAAGAACAGGCAGTATGGCTGCTCTCGGACTGGTCTTGGCAATGCCCAACGCTTTTTGTTTTACCTCCCCATTAAGTAGAAATGCCCATTTTAATTGGTAGAGTCTCTTCTTGTCCAGCTGCACACACCCCTTCTCCTGGCCGTTACACAGAATAGACTTTTAGATCATTAGTGGTAAAGTAACTGACCCTTCATTACAGATTTGCACAGCGGTAAAGCAAGGTAGAGAAGCAAAAGCATATTGGGGCAGCAGAACGGCTAAATGGTTAGCGCTTCCACTTGGCAGTACTAGGGTCATTGGTTCAAATCCCAACCATGGCACCACCTGCCTGGAATTTGCATGTTCTCCCTGTGCCTGCGTGGGTTTCCTCCGGGTACTCCGGTTTCCTCCCACACTCCAAAGACATGCTGGTAGGTTAATTGGATCCTGTCTAAATTGGCCCTCATATGTGTATGGATGTAAGTTAGGGACCTTAGATTGTACATCCCTTGAGGGTTAGGGACAGATGTAAATGTACAATATATATGTAAAGAGCTGCGTAAATTGATGGCACTATACAAGTACCTGTAATAATAATAATAATATTTGAGGAATGAGGCAAAGGGATAGAGGGAGGTTTGGTGAAGAGTCTGGGGATGAGCTGTAAGAAGAGCTATACTGCAAAGCAAGAAAAACCCTGTGTATGTGATCAATCATATGGCTACCCTTTGAGCATATGGTAGATTATTATACAGGATTTCTAGAACGATTAATTATATCTAGAAACAATGTTTTTAAAACATGAACACTAATTGGTAACATTATTTACATCAAACTAACCTCTTAATTATGTAAATATCAAAAATCAGTGACAAGACTATACATTTCCTTTGAAATTCGAACAAAATAGTCTGTACATGGTCTGTGTGCTTCACCCTAGCACTAGGAATTGTCCTGTTTGGTACTACATGACTTATCAGAGCATTTAATATAACTAAGAATATGATCATTAGACTGGAACAATGTGTACTAAAACCCTCATCAGACATGCAGAATGTAAAATTGACCACAGTAAGAACTCCAAAACTATTCCCATAAAAATGCCATAAAGCCACCACATTTTGTCGCAGCAGAGCTTTTTTTTTCTTTTACCCTATTCTATAACTAGGTCAAATGGGCAAGCTTTTACAACTCAAAATGGGGTAAAGCACTTCAGATATAGTTAGCAGGCTTTATTAGGAGCTCCCAATTGAATAGCATTACAGTGAGCAACATCAACCTGATATTTCAGCATTATGGAAAATAAGACAAAGGATTGGTACAGAAACTTTAGAGAGCATCTCTCAGTGACTGCAGACGTCTATGTGCCCCTGAGCATAAATCTAAGAAAAGCTCTGCTGATTGTGCCACATAAGGAGAGTGCTTTGGGCAGTGACACAGATGTTGCTGATATGCTTTTAATTTATAAGTAGGACTTTCATTCCTTGCTAAAATGATTCACAATGGTTAAACATAATAGGATGAATGATAAAAAGTGCTGTGTGCAATGTTAGGGGTTTAGCAGTATTAGGGATCCAACTGACAAATCTTCATCTTTCGAAGCAGCTCAGCACTCGGCTCATCGTTCTAAGCTCACAAACTCTCATCTTGATTCTCATTTTTGCAGATTTGGAAAGATTTGAGTGTGACATACGGATGGCATTAAGAGCATCAAGGGTTTATACACTGTATCACTGAGACAAAGGGGGCAAGAAACTATCATGAATACATGAAAAAGTAGCTTGAAGACCAGCTGTGCAGACTAAGGTCAAAGCTACAAAACAAAGGGATTTCCACCTTTTCCTTTTAAAGCATCAAAACGTGTCCTTCTAGGTAAAATTGTACCTAGACATTTATGCATATATTATAAACACTATGTGAACTAAAATATTCAACTTGCATTATGTCACAAAATATTTTGCTACTGTAGTGCTTACCTCCACAGGAGCCACTGAACATGATGGGTTTTCTGTTCTGCCATGACTCTAAGTTGCTTGAACCCCAGTGACACTTGTGCAACTTAAAAGTTAGTATGCTACCAATCTATAATATTGCACAGAAAGCTGACTACAGACAACTGAATGGCTGATTAAATG